AATGCATTAAACAACTTTGTTTACAGAAAGAACAGGGGAAAATGTATGAGTTGTATTAGCAAGTCCACTTCTTGCTTTTTTTAATAAGAAAGCGTCTTTGTAGCTTAACACCACCAAGCACAATATTGTAAAATGCAAACCCATGTCTGCCTACTAGAAAAATGGTTTTAATTTAATCTTTTAATTGTAATCAGGTTAAAACCTGGAATGGTAACAGGAGAGGCTTTTCGTCATACTGGAGAGAACTTACATAAGCCAGTTGTATAATATAGTAGCCTAATTGTAAGTAACACAGATTTGTTTATGCATCTTAGACTTCATTGTTGCCTGGGAAAATAAATTAATCTGTACTTTTTTTGACCGAAAATTCCAGTCCCTCTGCCACTCAGTTCTTATTTTGCTGAAATTTTCCATCTTTGATTTGAGCTTAATTCAAGTAATTAGAGCAAAGACCCCAGTTCTACGCAGAAACTGAGTATGTGAGCGTGCGGATGGTTCAAAGGCTGTTTTCGTAAAGCATTTGCAGCTGCTCATCAGTCAGCTGGGGCTGGAGCGAGGGCTGGCGGTGGCTCGGCGTGCTGCCTCCGCAGCTTTTGGGGTTGTCTGTTGAGTGTTAGAAAATATGTCCGTGTGACTAAGCCGACATCAGCTGGATTTTCAGATATTTCTGATTTCTCTGCACTAAGATGAACTGCGTGAAGAAGAAAAAAGTGTTTATCGTGAGACAGGTGCACGCTGTGCAGAACAAGCTCAAACCTGAGCTGGTTTGCGGTGTGCAGTTGGAGTTGGGAAGAAGGGAAATGACTCTCTGGCAAATGGATTCTTGTGCTGTGTTTTGCAGGTACGCGCTCTCTCATGCGCCAGGCGTGGTTTTAATAACGAAGGTGTTCGCTTCTACTTGAAACAGCACGCCAAAGGATACAGCAAATGTAACTGCTGGGAAGGTTTAAAGTCTCACTGTAAACTGAACTGAGGATAAACCTGATGATAATGAAAATTTCATCAGTATCTTGTGGCTGGAAGCTGAAGTTGCCCAAATTCAGTCTTGAGCTGAGGTACTATTTCCTAGCAGCAGCAGAGTAAAATAAATATTAGAACAGCTTATCCAAAGATGGCTTTGACAGTGATTTTTTTTTTTTTTTTTTTTAAGATGACATTACCCTTTTTCCTCCTGAACAACCAACAACAAATTCAACCTGCTATAGTTTGCTTTCAGGAAAGTTTCTTGCCCTATGTGGGGGCAGCCAGCCTGAGCCGTTAATTCTGAGTTTGAGGCGTTCCTAATACCAGTGCTGTACTGGGTTTGTGTGGTGAGGTTTTGGTAGCAAGGGGCCTACTGAAGTGGCTTCAATGAGAAGCC